ACCATAAGAAGTAGGTGTGGCTTTGGTTGGTGGAGGGGTGGGAGTCACTCTCACTTCTGTTTGTTTTTTTTGTGGGAATGGACAACCAAGTGTTGAAAGCAGGGATGGAAAGGAGCTTAGCTTTGGTTGGTGGCAGGAAAGGGTTCTTTAGTTAGTTAGTTAGTTAGTCAGTCAGTCAGTTAGTTAGTTAGTTAGTTAGTTAGTTAGTTAGTTAGTTAGTTAGAATGACACCACTTAGGCTTCTACAGCTTTTTGGGTTTTTCGTTTGTTAGTTTTGGGGGGAAAGGGGGACAGTAGGTGCTGGAGGCAGAGATGCCGCACTTTGTGGGGCCGGGGGTGTTCTAGCATCTTTTGTTTGTTTGGGGTGACAGAAACAAGAAAATAGCAGGTGGTGAACTCAGGAGAGTCCTTCTCTTTTTCTTTTCGTTTATTGTTTTTCGTTGAAAAAGACAACCACACTAAGACTTAGATATTGAAAGCAGAGTGCCTGGCTTTGGTGGTGGGCAGAGCCATTCTCGCCTATTTCTTTTTCCTACTTTTTTTGTTTTGGGGGATGTTTTTGGTTTGTTGTGAGGGACAGATGATGATATAGGGTAGGTGCTGCACGTGGGGATACAGCCAGCCTGCTTGGTGTTGATCTGTGGGGGAAGGGTGTCCATCTTGCTTGTTTATTTGCTTTCTCTGGTTTTTTGTTGGGTGGGAAACTGCCAACAACCACACTAAGTGCTGCTGCAGCTGATGCAGTTTGTGGAGGGGGGAGGTTCTCTCAGTTCTGTTTATCTGTTTGGCTTGTTTGTTTGTCATTTTGAGACAGGGTTTCCCTATAGCCCCAGCTGGCCTGGAATTTACTATGTAGACCAGGCTGGCCCCTAACTCACAGAGATCCACCTGCCTCTTCCTCCCAAGTGCTGAGACTAAAGGTCTGCACCTTCTGTTTTTTTGAGGGGAGGACAGTCACACTAAAACAAAAGTGTTGAAAGCTGAGGCCCAGCTAGCACGGGGACTTTGGACAGTGGGGGAGGGGCAGTTTTGGCTTCTTTGTTTTTTTTCTTTGTTGGAGGGAGGGTGTTGGAGGGAACACAGCTGGGCGTGGCTTTGCTCTGTCTTTGCCTTTTTTTGTTTCTTTGTTTTTTATTTGTTGGGTGGGAAACAGCCCGCACACGAGGGAGCTGTGCTGCAAGTGGTGGTGCGCTGAGCTTTGGTGGGAAGGATGTTTGGACTAGGACGTTAGGTTCCACAGCCAGTGTGGCTTTGGAGGTGGGGTTGGTGATGTGGCTCTCACTTCTGTTTGTTGCCTGAGAGGGGGCAGACAAGCACACTGAGCCTTAGGTACTGAGCTCCATGCAGTGGAGCTGGGTTCTACTGCTGCTGCTGCTGCTTTTGAGAGGTTTTTGTTGGTGTTTTGTGTGTTTATTGGGGGATAAATAGAGGACAGGAGGTTCTGAACTGGGGGAGGGTGCAGCACTTTGCAGGGGGCTGTTGGCACTACTGTTCGTTGAGGGTGACAGGCACTACAAACGACAGGGCTTAGCTCAGGGTGCAGTCGAGAGGGTCCTGCTGTTGTTGCTTTTTGTTGTTGTTTGGCCCTTTGTTGGGGGAATTGGACAACCAACAGCCGCTTTCCAAAAAAACTTTTGCCTGTTGAGGCTTGCACACCATGAGTCACTCAGTGGGCAGAGGCTGGAAGATTTCTGTGAGATCCTGGCCAGCCTGGTTTACAAAGCGAGTTGTGGGCCTGCTGGAACTACAGGGAGACCTTGTCTCAAAAAAGACCAAAGGGAAAAATAAATAAGCTGCTTTCAAAAAAAAAAAAAAAAAAACCTGTTTGAGGCTGGAGAAATGGATGGATCAGCAGTTTAGAGCACTTGCTGTTCTTGCAGAAGACCCAGATTTGGTTCCCAGCACCCACATGGCAGCTAATAGCTGTCTGTAACTCCAGTTCCAAGGAATCCAATGCCCTCTCTGGCCTCCGTATACACTGCATGAAACGTGTGTACTTACACATATGCAAATATACACTCATACACATAGAATATACACATATACACTCATACACATAGAATAACAATAATTTTTTTAAAGCCAGTTTTGTCACTGAGTGGGTTGTTCTCACATCTTTGTTGGGGGGGAATAGTGCTGCACACAGGGATGCACAGCTTTGCTTGCTTGCATGTTTGTTGATGGGCAAAAAACCAACAACCACTTCACTACCACAGAGATAGTTTGGTTGATGGGAGTGTGTTTCTTGCTTACATTTGTTTGTTTATTGGGGTGGGGGGCAGGAATGGACAACCCAGTTAAGACTTAGGTACTGAATGCAGAGATGCAGTGATCTTCGCTTTGGTATATATGGGTATCGTTCTTTGATTCTGTGGCAGAAACGGAACACCACACAGAAGTATCTGATGGCTTTGGTCAGTGGGAGGTGAGGAGCGCTTTCACTTTTTGTTTGTTGAGGTGAATGCATTAGGAAAGACATAAATGCTGAAATGCTTGGGGGTCATTCTCATTTCTTTCTATTTTGCTTTGTTGTTTGTTTTTGAGACAGGGTCTCACTGGGTAGCCCTGGCAAGCCTGAAACTCACTGTGTAGACCAGACTGGCTGCAAACTCAGAGATCTACCTGCCTCTGCCTCCTGAGTGAGTGGACCACCATGCCTGGCCTCACTTCTTCACACTGCTCCTTGTCCTACTTTTGAACATCACCCAGACAGCACCAGGTGTTAGTCTAGTAGAACCTGGGGTGGCTTTCCCCGCCTCATATTTCCAAGGCCATGTATAGAGGGAAGTAGGAATGGGGAAGAGACACTTGTCTTGATCGGGAACTAATAGAGAACAAATTCAAAGATATGAATTATGTGAAGGTCACAGGACAAATTGGCAGGAGTCATTGCTCTCCCCATATGGCCTTCTGTGGTTCGCCCCAAGCTGTTGGCAAGCTGTTGCCCACTGAGACATCCTGATGGCCTTACTTCTAGTTTTGCTACTTTTGAAGACTTGTATATGGAATTTTCTTTTTCGTCTTTTTTGAGACAGGGTCTCCCTGTAGTCACAGCTGGCCTGGATTCACTATGGAGACCAGGCTGGCCTCGAACTCACAGAAATCCACCTGCCTCTGCCTCCTAAGTGCTGTATTTAAAGGCATGTACCACCACACCTGGCTGGAATTACTTATTTTTGAGCTATGAAATATGTAGTGCTTTTGAAAAGGAAAACCCAGTAGCCATCTATCTAAAACTTACTGAGAAAGGAATAGAAGATATTTCCTGAGCACATGGTGAATGTAGGTGTTTAAGTCTTGAGTTAAAGTATTAAGAATTTTTAGAAGAGTAGTTAAAAAAATACCCGCTGTCCAGTCCCAAATGAAGAATAAATTGCTATAAAAATTATTAGACTGGGAATGTAGTTCAGTGGTAGAATACCTGTCTAGCACATATGAGGTCCTGGGTTCCATTGCCAACACCCCTCCACACACACAGACATTCTCCCTATACCTGCCGCCAGCAGTCAATCAAAAACTAGCCAAAGAAGCAAACAGAAAAACCCTCCACAAGCTGTTACTGAGAATCCCTTGAAATAGTGAAAACAAAATAACCATTTTGACTGTATATTTATTTTTTTAAATACTTAAATGATTGAAAAATGTGTTTTTATTTATATCAGCAAGTTGTGAACATATCCTGGGGATAAAGTAAAACATGAGTGGCTGTAGGAACAGTGTTGTAACTATTGCAAGCTATAGCCTTGCCAAAATGATGGCTTCTAATCCTTTAGCTATAACTACTGTGTGCGAGACAAGTACTGACAGTGGGGTTTTATTTTATCTATTCTTTCATCTGGTGATCTGAAAGTCGCTTCTGTGTGTTTAAAAATTGAAATAGTGGGACTGGAGAGATGGCTCAGCAATTAAGAGGACTAGCTGTTCTTGTAGAAGACGGGGTTCAAATCTCAGCCACCCACGTGATGTCTAACAGACATTCGTAACTCCAGTTCCAGGGGATTCAAGGCCATCTTCCACAGAGATTGCACGACAGGAGTACACTTACACACATGCAGGCATAACACTCATACATAAAAGTAAATAAATATTTTTTTTGAAAATTGAAATAGCTCTTGTTTTCTGTATTTCCAAACTACATTGATCACAAGAAGGGCTTGAAATGAGCCGTAGCTCTTGTTTTAATAAATAATTACCAGCTTCAAGGATGTGGGTGCCTTGCTTTGGCACCCTCATTACGGCCATAGTTTTCCCCTCTCTTCACTCACCATCTCATTCATAAAACATAGATCACTTGTACTCTGATGTTTCTATTCCAGTCTCCCTGCTTATGTATAAGCCAGAATAAAATGTCCCTTAATTCCAGCAAAGCCCTGCTATTGCTTAGCTATTTTTATATTAAAATCATGGAGAATGCATGCTGTCCCACCTATTTTTGAGACAACATCTCCCACTGAACCCAGAACTTGCTGTTTCAGCTAGACTGGATTATCCGGCGAATACTGAGATTGCAAATTCTCACCCCTGTGCCCTGCTCTTATGAGAATGCTGAGATCTAAACTCAGGTTCTCATGTACAAGCATTTTACCCACTGAGCCATCTCCCCAGCCCTAAGAATTTTTGTTTTCTAATTTATCTTGACCTTCATTGGAATACATTTGAGGTTTCCATCAAAGAACACAAGTGTGCTTAAATTAATGATGTACATATTTTTCTGTAAAGAAGGCATAGTTAGATGATATTAGTTCTATTCCTATTAAATCATAATAGCATGTGGTCTTCCTTATTATGGTATTAACAATGCTCATTTCGGACATTAGTATCTGAAATGAAAACAGACTCTACCTGAACATCTGTCTGATGTGATACTATGTAGATCTCTCTGCCTCACAACTTCTGGTTACTTTCCATGCTTAGCAAAATGCTCATATGCCATGAAGTCCAACCAACTGTTTTCTTCTTGCCCCTAGTGTACTTACTGCTTTTGTTTTTTCTCTTTTCAGGTATATGGCACAATTTTGTTCTTGCCCTCCTGGGTATTTTAGCTCTTGTTCTCCTCCCTGTAATTCTCTTGCCATTTTACTACACTGGAGTTGGGGTGCTTATCACTGAAGTTGCTGAGGTAAATATGAGATCACCTTATGGTTTTTGTTTCACCAGATGTTTTTTTGTAATACTTAAAATCTTTTCAAAAGCAAATAAAATGATGGGAAACATTGGATTTTTTTTATATGTCAAGAAAGTTGTTTTGTTCTGAGCTAAAAAGATAGTATCAAGATTTTGTATCTGTAGTTTGTTGATAAACTACATCATTTACCTTTACTGTATGTCTTAGTTTGTTCTTCATTGCTGTGACAAAACACTCTGACCAGTACCAACTTGGGGAGGAAAAGGTTTATTTGTCTTACATCTCCCAGGTGCATGAAGTTCATCAGGGAGCCCAAGGTAGGAACTCAGGGCAGGAACTTGGAGGCAGGAGCTGGAGCACAGACCATGGAGGAACGCTGCTTACAGGCTTGCTCCCTTGGCCCCTGCTCAGCCTGCTTTCTTATGCAACACAGGCCCACCTGCCCAGGGGTGGCACCACCCACAGTGGGCTGGGCCCTCCCACATCACTCATCAAGAAGATGCCCTTCAGACATGGCCACAGGCCAGTCCAATAGAGGCAATTACCCAACTGAGGCTCCCTCAACCCAGGTGTGTAAAGTTGACACTAAAGCTATCCAGCACAACTTATGTATGAGAGAAAATTGTTGTTTTCCTGAGTATAGACCACTTCACTTGATGCAATTTCCATAAATATGGAACATAATAAAATGATAAAGTAATACAAATATGGAGCATAAATAATTTATAGTTCTCTCCATTTTTGGCAATGTTATGTTTTCACTTTTCTTTGTAGCTAAAATATTTCAGTTGTGTAAATGCACCATGTTTTCCTTATCCAATCACCTATCTATGGACACTTACATTGGCTCATACTTCTGAACCACCAATTATAACGCCACCTTGAGAAAGATTTGGCTCTACTTCTAAAAGAATGAAATCAGTGCTTGAAAGCTATACATAGGATTGATCCCTTTGGCTTCCATACATTCTTAGAAGAAAACACGTTTCAGTTAGTCATATGTTTCACAGTATGCAGAGCTCAGTGACACTAAATTAGACAACACAATTTCTCCACACTCATAAGCACGAAGAGAGAAGTTCCCACTTACTGGGTTTTTCAGGGTTCAAATATTGCACTGCAAAGATGTCCATGACATGACCTCCTTCTTTACAAAGCTACAATATGAAAAGCTTAAAATCTTTCCCACTTTTTCTCAAGGACATCAAACATTGCACTGACTCTTAGTGAACCCCTTTAATACCTGTTCTCTTTTTTTTAATTTGGAAAGTTTACCTTTTTTAATTATTTATTTAATAACCACATACTTAGAAGAAGCATTTCAATACATCAACATTGATATATTCAATAACAA